CAACTCCCAGAAGTAACTAACATGTAATAATGATAACCAAACCTTATCCATTACACAGGTAATGAGAATACTCAAAGTTGTTATCTTGATCTGATACCACCAGATTCTCATAACTAATTTTGAAAAAATGTACAACAGCTAGAGGAGAGAACTGACACTCAGATCTTGGGAGTTTAAGGGTTAACTGAGCAGGAGACCCACATAGTGTAGAAGGTTCGTGATTAAATAAATTGTAATTCACATTCATGAATTATATGGTATTTACATTGGAAATATTTTTCCAAAAAAATTCTTACCCTGTTCTGAAATGCCACTTCTACTTTATGCCAATTGCCATCAATGACACCACCATTTACATTTGATGTAACAATGACTTCATGGGAAAACAGTGAAAACCTGAACCGAACTTGTCCTTGCCACACTTCCACTGCAATAAAGTCATGTTTTCCATCATACCGTCCATTGAAGAGCAAAAGCCCACTGTGCTCAGTGGTAGTAAACTCCATCTGTATGTGTAAACGCCATCTTTGTTTCAATGCTAGGAAAAAATAAAGTCATCATCATCATCATCATCCCAAAACAAACTATAAACAGAGCCATTGAGTAACAACCCTTTAACCCCTAGGAGTGACTACCATCTAATTTCTCCTTACAATATCACCCCTAAATCACACATTTAAGTCACTAAAATAAAGGACAAGATCACCAGCTGAGGAAGCTCTTGAATCTTGTACATTAAGTCTCCTTGTCAGTAACTTAGGAAATGTACAGAGAACAGTACAGAGAATATGGGTACTGATGTTTGGGTGAAAAGGGTTAATATAAAATTACCTTTTAGAAGGAGCTACATGAAGGGTGGAACACTAATTCATTAAACCCTTAAACTCCCAAGAGTGACCAAGACAGAACTTCTCATTTCAATATCAATACAATGTCAGGAAGATAAGTGATAAGAATAAAGAGTAATATCAGTTGGGCAATTGTTAGTTGATTCAAAACTGAATTCGCCAAACTAACATCATGAGAACTGTACAGCAGACAGTAAGGAGAATTACTTTAGAGATCTGGGAGTGAGAGGGTTAAACACATGAAAAAACCACATGAAATTAAAATTCTTTCCTCCAATACAAGGTGGAAGTGTTCACCTGGATTGGAATGCACTGCCCCTAACATAGTATATGTGACTAATTTGTTTGATTACAAGCCATCTCCTATATTAATAATCTATTTGTTGCACAAGACCAGCACTTAACTTTAAACTTTGAGCAATTGTACAAAACCTCAACATTCAAAAATTCATTGTGTCTTCATTCTGTAAGTTTTTCTTCCATCCTCAATACAGTGTGAAATTCAGTCAAATTCAGTAAAAAAGAATGCAGTCATGCAGAGGTGGCAAGTTTTAAAAGGGGTGCTTACTAAAGTAAAGTAGAAGAGCTTATTCTAGGATTTATAGTACATGTAACTACAAATAAATCCTTACCTGGAAAGGCAACAAATGATCCTTTTTCAAAACTGCGCGTTGTCAGTTGGCACAGTGACCCATCAACTTCACTCGGATCTTTGCACTGACA